AGATGTGTATAAGAGACACCCCCACTCCCCCTCAGCTGGGGACCACCTCCCCCACTCCCCCTCAGCTGGGGACCACGTCCCCCACTCCCCCTCAGCTGGGGACCACGTCCCCCACTCCCCCTCAGCTGGGGACCACCTCCCATAGCTTGGCCGGGGTGTACCCGTCCTTGACCCGTTCAAAGGCGAGCCCGAGGTCCTCTGAGTAGACCGGCCCGCCAGCGGACGTCCGCCCGTCCGCCAGGTACGTGGCCACCACGTCCCAGTCCGCCGGCCCGTCCCCGTCCGTCCCCACGTCCATCTCCTCCTCGTCCACGGCCTCCTCCTGCACCGCCTGCCCGTTAATTAAATATTTTTTTAATTAATGTTGACAAGAAATAATCGATTATTTTATAATTTTCTAATTGAATAATTTTTAATTAATACTTATTGTCAAGAAAATTGTTGATTAATTAATAATTTTTGAATCATATAATTTTTAATTAATATTGACAAGAAAATTGTTGATAAATCAATAATTTTAAAATAAATAATTTTTAATCAAATATTTTTATTTTAAATAATTTTTAAATAAACTAATTCCTAATTAATTGTTTAAATGCTTAAATAATTTTTAATTAATATCGTCAATAATATTTTTGATTATTTAGTGAGTGTAATCAAGATTAAGTCTACCAGCTGAGGTCACGATCTACGTCTAGCCCAGTCTACCATCTACACGGTAGATACCCTTATCTACCCAGCACCCTAATATCTACCCAACACCCTGATCTACCCAACACCCTAATATCTACCCAACACCCTGATCTACCTGGTACCCTAATCTACCCGGTACCCTAATATCTACCCGGTACCCTAATCTACCCAACACCCTAATATCTACCCAACACCCTGATCTACCCAACACCCTAATCTACCCAAAACCCTGATCTCCCTGGTACCCTAATCTACCCGGGACCCTAATCTACCCAACACACTAATCTACCCGGGACCCTAATCTACCCGGTACCCTAATCTACATTGTACCCTAATCTACCTTGTACTCTGATCTACCCAGCACCCTAATATCTACCTGGTACCCTAATATCTACCCTAGGTCCCCCTACCCTGAGATGCGGGGCGGTAGAGTCGGTAGAAAACTCTACCCCGAAGACGGGCGCGTTGGAGTAGACGTGGTAGAGTGCGAGTAGTTCCTTGTGGACGGCGTGTAGCTTCTCCGTGGGGTCAATTCTGAACCCCAGCACGTACCTGGGGGTTAAGGGGTTAAAATGAACCCCAACACATACCTGGGGGTTAAGGGGTTAAAATGAACCCCAGCATATACCTGGGGGTTAAGGGGTTGAAATGAACCCCAGCACGTACCTGGGGGTTAAGGGGGTTATAGGGGTTAAAATGAACCCCAACACGTACCTGAGAGTTAAGGGGTTAAAATGAACCCTAGCACGTACCTGAGAGTTAAGGGGTTAAAATGAACCCCAGCANGCATCCAGGCTGTCTCTTATACACATCTAGATGTGTATAAGAGACAGATATATGCATATCATAAATTGTTTATTTATATAACTATGTACCTAATCAAAATTATTTAATAAAATTAATATATTTAATATTGTTAATATAAATAAATAAAACTCACCCTCCGCTGCTCTCTGTGCTCTATACTTATTATTCAATTATTAATTATTATTATAAATAAATAAAAAACTTACCCCCCGCTACTCTCTGTGATCTATACTTATTATTCAATTATTAATTATTATTATTAATGTAAATAAATAACACTTACCCCCCGCTACTCTCCGTGCTCTCCACCACGAGCGCCATGCCGAACTTTGATTCACGAACTTTGACCTGTAAATTTATATATAAATATTTAAATAGAGTTTAATACCGCATTAATACATAACAATTGTATAACATCAACACAATTGTGTAACATTATACACAGTATAACATCATACACTTGTAAACCATCAATACGATTTATAATATAATATCAATAGAATTGTACAAGAATTTATTTGGGAATTGTATAAGACCTAAGATTGTACGAATGTACGAATATTGAGTCGAATAGCTTGCTGGGCTGCCGGTTCTGCAGTGGTTCTTACCGAGCCCGTCTAGTTCTCACAGGTTCACACTGGTTCTCACCGAGCCCGTCTAGTTCTCACAGGTTCACACTGGTTCTCACCGAGACTGTCTGGTTCTAACAAGTGCCCCCTGGTTCTCACTGGTTTACCTGGTTCTCACCGAGACCGTATGGTTCTCACTGGTTTTCACATGGTTCTCACCGAGGCCCCCTAGTTCACATGGTTCTCACCGAGACCGTATGGTTCTCACCAAGGCCCCCTGGTTCACATGGTTCTCACCGAGGCCCCCTGGTTCACATGGTTCTCACCGAGGCCCCCTGGTTCACACATGGTTCTCACTGAGGCCCTCTGGTTCTCATGGTTCTCACCGAGGCCCCCTGGTTCCCATGGTTCTCACCGAGGCCCACTAGTTCTCACTGGTTCTCACCGAGGCCCCCTGGTTCACATGGTTCTCACCGAGGCCCCCTGGTTCTCACTGGTTCTCACCGAGGCCCCCTGGTTCACATGGTTCTCACCGAGGCTCCCTGGTTCACACATGGTTCTCACTGGTTCCCCCTGGTTCACATGGTTCTCACCGAGGCCATCTGTATGTATGGCAGGGAGATGCTGAAGAGCCCCAGAGGCCCCCCTGGTTCACACTGGTTCTCACCGAGACCGTATGGTTCTCACTGGTTCCCCCTGGTTCACATGGTTCTCACCGAGGCCATCTGTATGTATGGCAGGGAGATGTTGAAGAGCCCTAGAGGCCCCCTGGTTCTCACTGGTTCACATGGTTCTCACCGAGACCGTATGGTTCTCACTGGTTCTCACTGGTTCACATGGTTCTCACCGAGGCCATCTGTATGTAAGGCAGGGAGATGTTGAAGAGCCCTGGAGGCCCCCTGGTTCTCACTGGTTCTCACCGAGACCGTATGGTTCCCCCTGGTTCACACCGAGGCCATCTGTATGTAAGGCAGAGAGATGTTGAAGAGCCCCAGAGGCCCCCCTGGTTCACACTGGTTCTCACCGAGACCGTATGGTTCCCCCTGGTTCACATGGTTCTCACCGAGGCCATCTGTATGTAAGGCAGGGAGATGTAGAAGAGCCCTGGAGGCCCCCTGGTTCTCACTGGTTCTCACCGAGACCGTCTGGTTCCCCCTGGTTCACACCGAGCCCCCCTGGTTCACATGGTTCTCACCGAGGCCATCTGTATGTAAGGCAGGGAGATGTTGAAGAGTCCCAGAGGCCCCCCTGGTTCACACTGGTTCTCACCGAGACCGTATGGTTCACACTGGTTCACATGGTTCTCACCGAGGCCCCCTGGTTCACATGGTTCTCACCGAGGCCATCTGGTGCTCACTGGTTCACATGGTTCTCACCGAGGCCATCTGTATGTATGGCAGGGAGATGTTGAAGAGCTCGTTCATGTTGGCGAACCACACGAGACGCACGTTGCTGATCACGAACGTACCCAGGTTCCCCTGGATAATAAAATAATTATATAATACATAACAAATTATACATGATTTATTATGTATTATACATACTCTTTATTATCTTATGCAAATTTACTTTATTATACTATTTATATGGTATAAAACTAGTTGAAGTTCTCCACTAGTGGACGGAACTAGACACTAGACATTTGTAGTTATTACTTTGCCTACCACGGCACTAGATACTCGACCTGGTAGATACACCTGGTCAGGTCACTAACACTAGTGACGCGCCTGGCCACTAATTACCAGCCTTGTCACTAGTCATCTATTACCAGCCTAGTCACTAGTCATCTATTACCAGCCTAGTCACTAGTCACCTTTTACCAGCCTAGTCACTAGTCACCAGTTACCTGGTTACCAGTTACCTGGTCACTAGTTACCTGGTCACTAGTCACCTAGTCACTAGTTACCTAGTCACTAGTTACCTAGTCACTAGTTACCTGGTCACTGGACAGGTTCCAGACGCCCTGCACGGTGGACGACACCAGCTCCTGGGGCAGCAGGCGCAGTTCCTTGTTGCTGATGATGGCCGCCCGGAGCTTCAGCTCCCGGTACAGACGGGACGAGGAATATGCCCTCAGGGAGAGGAATAGAGGGGATTAATTGTGATTATAATGCCCAGGGTAGCATGAATTAAGGAATAATTATGTTCACGATACCCTGAGGGGAGCAATTAAGGAATTATTCATGTTTAGAAGGGAATTAATTAAAAGGGCCTTCAGCTCCCGGTACAGACGGGACGAGGAATATGCCCTCAGGGGGAGGAATAGAGGGATTATTTGTGATTATAAGGCTCTGGGTGGCATGAATTAAGGAATAATTATTAAGGGGTTGAGGGGGTTAAAATGAACCCCAGCACGTACCTGGGGTCAAGGGGTTATAGGGAATTAAAGGGACCAAGGGGTTAACTTAAGAGAATTAAAGGGGCCTTCAGCTCCCGGTACAGACGGGACGAGGAATATGCCCTCAGGGGGAGGAATAGAGGGATTATTTGTGATTATAAGGGAATTAAAGGGGCCTTCAGCTCCCGGTACAGACGGGACGAGGAATAGGCCCTCAGGGGGAGGAATAGAGGGATTAATTATGTTTTTAATCCCAGGGCGGCATTAATTAAGGAATAATCATGTTCAAAGTGCCCCGAGGGGAGGTATTGAGGAATTATTTATGTTTATATGGGGATTAAAGGGACCCTTGAGCTCCCTTTACAGACGGGAGGAGGAATAGGCCCTTGGGTGGAGGAATAGAGGGACTGTAGCTGTGAGTCGGGTCTGCATAATATGGATAACGAGTGGATAACGAATTTGACTATTCCAGAGGTTTTGGAATAACAAAAATTGCTTCTTTTCACAATGAATTTGACTGTCACATACCTATTGGTTTTGGAACTTAAAAAAACGCTTGCTTACTACTGTTTTTTCCGAAATAAAATCTACGTTTTATCCACCTGAACTGAAGTTGTAAGAAGTAAATTACAGGCGTAGTCTGACAACACTGAAAATTTGCGGCGAAACGGAAATGTACAAAAAACATGAATTTATATCAATAGATTAACTTCAATGATCTTCGAGGGTCTTGGCTAATAAATAACAGCAGATGAGTTGCGGCTTCGAAACCCAGCTGCCAGTGAAAATTCTGCGATGCCTAGAGTCAACAATATAGGACAAATGTAGCCTATTAAATTCGAGAAATATGACAGACTTGCATTGATAAGTTATAGCATTAATTACATATATTATTATTATAAATGGTATCATTGATATATATTAAAATTGTATATTATTATGGGCATCAAAGAGGTATATTATGGGCATTAGTGGAAAATAAAGCGTATTAGAGAGCAGGAAAGAGGGCTGAAGAGTATTAGAGAGCAGTAAAGAGAGCTGAAGAGCATTAGAGAGCAGTAAAGAGGGCTGAAGAGCATTAGAGAGCAGTAAAGAGGGCTGAAGAGCATTAGAGAGCAGTAAAGAGGATACGTCCATCGTGGCCTGGGACTGCTACGTCCATCGTGGCCTGGGACTGCTACGTCCATCGTGGCCTGGGACTGCTACGTCCCAAAAAAGTACTAAGATTACCAAGATTGGATTGTCACTCTAGGATCGGTCTGTACAGCCACTCTGGGCGGACCGATAGCTAACCCAGCGTCTCTCGAGACGGACGGATGCCGACGACGAAAACAGTGAAGCTTAGAGCAGATATGTCTATGAATGAGTTGGTTTAGCTAGGCCTAATTTTGCGGCCTATGCAAGGGATAACTTTGTGAGTAAAGAGTAAGTTTGTGTAACACAAGGTAATAAGTAAAACTAACACAAAGTTTGTGTAACACAAACTAATAAGTAACACAAAGTGGACAAAGTAAAACTCATTTCTCGGCGTGTACTCTGTTTTCAATAAAAAAACAGAGCATTTTTTACGAAGTTAAAAAAGTTCCCCGAAATGCTGAAATTTTTCAAAAACTATCGCGTTTCGCTGATGAATTCACGTATATTAAACAATCAATTCATATATTCATTTATGCATACAGCATACATTCATATATTCATTAATTGTCCATCAATTTAGTATATTAATAAATTATAATCATGCGAAACGACATAAAAATTTCTCATATCTTCACCAATTTTGATTAATAAAATAAATTTTAAAAATAATTTGAAACCTTTAATGATGAAGAAGCTGGTCTCTTAAATGACGAATTCACATGCTTTTTTTAATATTAATTTTTAATATTAATATTAATTAATTTTTCTTAATTTTAATTTAATTTATTATTTTTCTTTTGAATGTTTAACTAAATAGGTAAGATACAAATATATTTTAAATTCATTCATGTGTAGAGATGATACATTTTTTTATGAACACAGCACTAAGGGGGGGAAGGGAGGGGAGGGAGGAGTGGGGGGGACTTGAACCCAGCATGGGGGGGTGATGTGTGGGGTTGGATGTCATTCATCCCATCATTCAGCCAACGTATCTCATACACTACAGTCTCCTGACTTCTCTTGTTAAGGTGGGTCATGAATCTGTCTCTTATACACATCTAGATGTGTATAAGAGACAGCTTTTTCAATAAGGAAATATACCATGTAAATCTAGCGTTGCCTTCAGGAAAATTGTGTCTCGGCAAAAGACATCTTTATAACAAAAGCGCAAAATAACAGGATTATGCATGTACCCTTCTGCTCGAAAGCTTGCCGGCATCTGACACTACATCGGTTTAATTGCTACGTTGAACCTATTCAACATTATAAAAAAAAACCTTTCGCGAGANTGGCGTTTTCGGTCAGCAGTCTGGATCTCCTCAGTCGTTCGGACAACAGTCGGGCAGTGGCGTTTTCGGTCAGCAATCTGGATCGGGCTCCGGCTCCATTTTCGGTGTGTATGAACGCTATTTGAGTGCTCTCGTTGAACGAAGTTAGCAACGTTAGACCTGAAGTAGTGCAGCGTAGTCTGGGTGAATCTTGTGCGATTTTGTTTAGAGGTTATAGTTACCTAGTTTCTATATCGATGGTACAGACTCTAGTCCTTCAGACTTTCATTGCAGTTTCTCCTAAATTATCCCGCCGTTGCAGGTAGCGATGGTAGCACTGGGGCTCAGCGTGGCTCAGCCATCGGAGGGTCGGGTCTGGTCACGGATGCGTTCCCCGGGACAACCGATCGTCTCAATGGGCCCGCTTCTGGCTTCGCTGGTGATGCATATATACTAGAGCCCGTGTCGGACTTTACCATAATATATTTGGTCGCGTAATTTATAGACGACGATGTATTACACCAGATGGCTGTCTTTACACGTGCAGTATAAAGGAATTAAAAGTTGGCTTGTAATGATAGTATGTTGACGACTCTTAAGAGATCCGGTGCCTAAATTTATATAGGCTCTGATTGCCGAGCCAATCAAGGTCAGTTCTTCCTTCCTTCACATCCGGCCTTATCGTCCCTCCTCCCACCTTCATTTCAGCCCTTCCCTTTATCTAGTTGAACATTTTCCCTCCTGTCCTTAGGCGGTTCAGGAGGAATCTTCATCACCAGCCAAGGCCCCGTCGATGGTCCCGCCCCTATCACCATCACTGTGGAGTCTACTGTGGACGCCTTCTCGACCCTGACCAACCTCTTCTACAACACCGTCCCTGTCACCCTAACGGAGTTCATCAAGACCACCCTCACCGCCCCAACTTTCCTGGTGACGACTTCCTTACTCGTAATGTGAAGTTAGGTTCTTCCGACCGGTAATGTTAGCTTGTGGTGACTGTTAAAATCTCCAGATTAGAGTGTGATAGCCATTCTCACGTTCACTTCATAAATTCCAGTTTTGATTTATCCTATTGGTTTCAAAGGAGTCTAGCAACTAGCGTGACAGTTTCATGGTTCTTCTACTATCCGCAAGTTTCCGTAACGTTGAAACTTTGAATTCCAGCGCGTCACCGCCCCGGTTGACGACATTGTCCTGGTATCGCGAGTGCCCGACGTTCGCACGGAGACCATCACTGTGCTAGATACCAACACCGGCTACCAGTACGCGACAGAGGTTTCCACGCAGACCTACACAGTCACCCACAAAGCCTATGACATCCGCCAGCAGACGGTCACATCCATGCTCGTCCAGACGTACGTACAAAGTAATTTCCGCTGCAAAACCAGTCAAGGTTGTTATTTTTGGAGCATAATCGGCTATTAACAGAGCATAGCTTCCAAATGATCGAAGTTGATTGATGCTAGAGTAGAAGTTGACGCATCGCTTTACCCGATTAATCCTAGTTAACGTGCTTGGATTAATTCAAACTCCAGGATGACGTGCTAGGATTCAAACTCTCCCAAGTGTACCTGATGGAGCTCGTCCTAGCTTCTCTATATTAACTAATGTAACGTGCATAAACCACCTGTCAATTGGTATGCCAACCTCGACCCTTAATTTCCATGACTTTCCCTATCCTCCCCAGGCAAGTGATCAGGCCTCGCATAGTGAGCACCCGCATCGCTACAGAGTACGACACCCAGACCGTCGTCCAGACCGTCACCAACACAATTTTCGTCAACTCCCCCCTGGTACCCAGAGCAGGACCTGCCCCTCCCACCTTCCTCCCCGTCACCCCCACCCAAGTCTATGGGCCGCCTTCTAGACTGTATGGACAACCCTCGTTCTAGATGGAAAAGTTGTAGAACTATAGATTCTCTTGACATATATATTGAATAGTGATTTTACGTGTCTGTACTGGTAGAGATATGGTTCGAAGCTTCTTGGTCACGTAATGTAATATAAGAGTTGCAATAAATTATAGATATGAGATTCACTTATCATTGGCCTTTTTACTGAATAGTCAGAGGAATGTAGAGGAATGCTCTCTGGTATCCCTAAATGCCGAATTCACTGGATTGCAAGTTGTCCAACCAAGTGATTGCTGGAGTAATCGTGAAGTTAGAGGCTGAACTTCAGTATATAGTCTATAGTTATTCCTAACTATGAAAACCTCCCTGCTCGCAAACTTGGGCATTAGAAGGCAATGTCTGACTAACTTTAGAAAGCCAGTGTTATACGGATGAGCATTTTTAGTCGCATTGAAGAAGAGAATTGGTATCTGTAATCGTGTAGGAGGTTGAAGCTGTTAGTAATAAAGAGATGTAAATTTTGAATTAATAATGATTGGTATACTGGAGGATTTTTGATGCTCCTTAGGAACGCACTTTGGTGTCGGACGTTGACTATAAGCCGTTGGCACGTGGCCCTCGTACGTAATCTAACCGGGCAGAAAATGAATTAGGTTGACCAACACTGAAGCGAGAAGTGCTTGGTGCAATCTAAATTGAACTAAGCGGATAGAACTTCGATCTCTTCTGGAATTTAATGACTGAATTTAGACTGTATTGAAATGATACGAAAGGTGATGAGCGGCGGCGTTTGCGTTTCGTAACTGAACTTGCAGTGGCCATATTTTTGGTCAGAGAATAGGTAGGTCAAGCTTGGAACGTAGTCGGTGATGGGCTTATGGAATTAGAACTTTGCAACAAATCTTTTTAGTAAGGCCTCTGGATAGTCAGACTGATCGTTCATCTGTAATCTACAGCTTACATGAACTAAACTATTGATGGTACTAAGAAGTCTTCAGATGTTGGGTGTGAGGGGGGGGGGTAACTAATCGGTCAATAGGTCCTGTAGGACTAATGCCACTAGTCGTTTACTAACATCAGGACTAGTAACTTCGCTTTGATACCAGTAACTTGGATTCGGTATCGGTAACTTGGCTTCAGTAACGGTAACTTGGCTTCAGTACCGGTAACTTGGATTTTCATTTATTAAAAATTCATTAAAATCAACAAGATTTATCACTAGACTCACCGAGTTGACAGTCTTAGTCGTCATGTTGACAACACAGTTGAAGCCAACAGCTGTTGAACACAGGATAACAAGATAAATGTATGGATAATATTGTTTCAATAGTGACACACTTTTTGCAAGTAGCACTAATACTTTCACTCAGGAAAATAAATGGGTCATATTGACTCAATAGTGACACACTTTTTGCATGTAGCACTAATAATTTCACTCAAGAAAATAAATGTGTTCATAGTGTTTCAATAGTGACACACTTTTTCATCCGCAGCACGGGCAGAGAGAGCGGCCGTAGCACCCAATTTTATTAAATTTATTTAACATGAAGTAGGATTCTATTTATAAGTTTTATTTAAGTATGCCTTGAATATTCAAAGACAAAGCATTACTTACTCAGGGAGACATTATCATTTGGGCATCACATATTGTAACTATCATTTTCATATGGATAGTATTCCATATATTAAACATTGAGGCTCTCACTTACATAGGGAGACTCTAGCCATAGTGGTGCTGTGCCATATGATCCTGAGGGTCGTCACTATGGCTCTCACTTACATAGGGAGACTCTAGCCATAGTGGTGCTGTGCCATATGATCCTGAGGGTCGTCACTATGGCTCTCACTTACATAGGGAGACTCTAGCCATAGTGGTGCTGTGCCATATGATCCTGAGGGTGGTCACTATGGCTCTCACTTACATAGGGAGACTCTAGCCATAGTGGTGCTGTGCCATATGATCCTGAGGGTCGTCACTATGAGCTTGCCGCGGTCACCAGAGTTCCCTTTGGTGTCCTCCACAGCGTCCAGCCTGTCCACCACCGTCTCCCCTGGCCGCATCTTCATCTGACTGTCCATCAAATACAGTGTAATAATTAAACATGAGACTGTCCATCTAATAAGGTACATTCAAGACTGTCCAAGACTGTCCCATTCAAGAGACTGTCCATCAAAAACAGTGTAATAATTAATAAAAAGTCTGTCCATCAAATAAAGTATATCAATTAAGCAAGAAACTGTCCATCTAAAACAGTATAATGATTAATCAATAGACTGTCCATGAAATACAGTATATTAATTATTCAAGAGACTGTCCATTAAATACAGTATAATAATTAATAAAAAGTCTGTCCATCAAATACAGTATATTAATTAATCAANAATTAATAAAGATACTGTCCATCAAATACAGTATATTAATCAAGAGACTGTCCATCAAATATAGTATAACAATTAATAAAGATACTGTCTATCTAAAACAGTATAATAATTAATCAAGAGACTGTCCATGAAATACAGTATTATAATTAATCAAGAGACTATCTTTCAGATAATAATAATAATAAATCCATATTATTATTTTTAATTAGTTGAACTGATGGTGGAGCTGGTCTTTGAAATATTATTATGAAGATTTGTAGAATTTATAGAAATAGCAAACTAGTGACATAATTATCTGTATTATCAACTGTAACTATACCTATTATCCTATATTGTTCATGTATATGAATGGTTATTACGTACCGGTACCATTCAACATGAAAATGAATAAAATGATCAAACATAATTTTTACTTAATGAAAATGCCATGTTTTCAAAAAGTAAACAAGCAGAGATTCATTTTTAGTTTTGAACCATTTGTTGTTGTTTGAAGATAATAAATAGTTTACCATTTATCAATCAAAAAACAAATTTTAAGATTTATTAATAAATTAATTATTATTTGTCATTTAAATGACCTGATAAGTGTTAACAGCATTATTAATCCACTAGATGAATATAATGAAATATACTTTTTACATATAACAATAAATTTCACAAAAAGCCAATTATCATAAAATATTGAGTTCAGCCTCAGGATAGTGGAGAATTGGAGATTTTTAGGAGCTAATTTTTAAAAAAATGTTGTGATTGGTAGGTAAGCAAAAACAACCCAAATTGTTATTATACGAGTTAATACTTAATAGTTATGGGTGGTGGGTGACTGAGTGACGGACAGGGTCAGCGATCTGCGATCCGATTTAGTATGTGGAAAGCTAAAAAAAATACCAGAAGCACAAGGTATTAAACTTTTTCAACTTATTTCATAAAGGTATTATTTATTTTGCTTATTTATAGCATAAAAGATATTCATACCGTCTCACCTTGGTGATATATCGAAACGAACGTCGCGGTCCTCCCATAACGGCGCCTTCGTGGGAGCCATGTTTGTTTACATCTTGGTTGCCATGGTGACGCCTTGTCACTGGTGCCAACGGAACCTGGAATTCCGTTCCGCCGGAAATATGTCGAAAACAATACTTACATCATTGACTGCTTTATTCACAAATTCAATACGAATTTATAAGTAAAGCAAACGTCAAGAAAATTCACGATATCACCATTGAAAACGTTTCAAATCATCATTTTGAAAAGGATATAATAGAATACATGTACCAGTACGTTTTCGCCTGTTGATATGGTGAATTTGCTTGACGATTGAATTGTTTTTAAATTATTGGTGAATATGTTGTAAATGCATTTTAAATTCAGAATGTGTTGTTTATTTTGTTAGATATAGGGTGAGGATGCACCGTATAAGGACAAAAAATATAACTCAGTACTCACTGCAGTGAGTGACAGAGAGAGCATTTTCTCGTCGACGAAAACTTGAGGTCACGGACGGACGGACAGACAGACGGACATGGCGAGCACAATAGTGCATTTTTTCCATAAATGAGAAAATGCGCTAAAAAAGTGCATCGCCATTCGGATAAATTCTCACTTATTTCTCTGGGTGTACCTAATAACTGTGCAAACATTGAAATTATTAATCACACGATATTTATGTATGACAGTATGAATTAGTGCATGACTAACTAATGCATATATGAATTAGTGTATGACCTGTATGAAATTCTGTAATTTAATGAAAAATATCAAGCATACTGCAGATCAATTGGCAGGACAGAGTCCCCAATTCTGGGCCCATACTATCAAAAAAGTTAAGAGATCGTAAGTTCATCCGCCAATCATTGACGGCCTTTCAAGCAAAATCCACCAATCATAGACAAGATAATAGAGCGCAAGTACTTACGTTCACTTAGCGAGTTTTGAATGTATGACCACTGTGGTACTAGAGCGCTCATATGTGGTCAGTCTGCTCTCAGTTCTCAGCGAGAGAACGTCTAATATGGCTGGGGCGTGTCAGTAGGATGGGAGCGGGCCGCATACCCAAGGACCTCCTCTACGGAGAGCTCGAGGAAGGCCGACGGAAAACGGGACGCCCGAAACTACGCCTTAACCCATTAAAACTCGCTAAGTGAACGTAAGTACTTACGCTCTATTATCTTCTTTATGATTGGTGGATTTTGTTTGAAAGGCCGTCAATGATTGGCGGATGAACTTACGATCTCCTAACTTTTACGATCTCCTAAATTTTTAATTTACAAACGCGGCAGCTTTTGATTTGGATTACCAGAAGCTGGGGCAATTTCAAAATTTTGTTAGGGAAAGACATTTGCATGAGGGATTTGAAACGGTGCCGCATCGACCCATCCGCGTGGACGTCTCGGACAAATTTACGGCCGGACCCGCGGCCGGTCTCGCGGCCGCCGGACTCCAAACATAGAAAAAACCTAGCCAATCAACGAAAACCTCGCAGGTTAGGTCCAGTTAGGAACAGGTTCTTGAACCCAGCATGGGGGGTGATGTGGGGGGTTGGATGTAATTCACCCCATCATTCAGCCAACGTATCTCATTCACTGCAGTCACCTGACTTCTCTTGTTAAGGTGAGTCAAGGATGGGACCGAAGCTGGATTTTGGTTATTCAGAGATAGGATTATTGTTGTCAACTAAGTGGAGAATAATAGTCTGTTTTGAAGAGTCCACTGGTTACGAGGTTAATGTGTATGGATTTTGCATACTGTAAGGTGAATGAAAATGTCTGATATGCTTATCAGTATATTCTTGTACTGTTGTAACGCTCATCCAAAGACAGGATCTGTCAGAACTATGGAATCGTGTGCTTAGGTCTTGATAAGGAGGCAGAATGTTGCTAGTTCGCAGGGAGTACATAAATTTTCGTGAAGCTAATAGTGGGAGGTATGACGCAAACTGAAATTTACAGTAGTTTTGGTGTAAACTGTCCAAGGCTGTAACGAACGGCGACGGCGTTGTCAGGAACTGTGTAGCTTGGAAATAGATGAACTAATTATGTCCAAACGGACGCCGGATTCGGCGGCAGATAGTTATGTGGGATCAGATGTGGCGAATTGATTACCATCTATTTAGTCGTTAGCATTTCTGAGCAGCTTGTTCTGAAAGCCTAATGCAAGTAACTTCAAATCATCGACATTTAATCATAGGAATGACAGAGCTGTGGAAGCTCTCGTAATTGCCTGTACTAATCATGTACGATCAGCTACTTGCAGTTGCTTCAAATCGTCGATAGTCGTAAAATGAGGAAAGCTAAGAGCTGTGAAGGCTCTCGTAATTGAATGAACTAATAACGCAAGTTCAGCTACTTAGAGTTGAAATTTTGTAACATCTCTTCTAATATTCAAATGGCGAAAAAACTTGGCATTGCCGGCCAATGTCATCGCGGCTCCTAATTTGATATCCTGGTTAGATCGTAAATGGCTGGAACTGCCCTTAAGTTAATCTACACTTTTCACAACGACGTGAAGTTAGTTTTGACGTCTGATTCTTGTTGATCTTTGCAGATGGCGTATTTGGGCATGATCGCATTATTCTCAGCAGCTCTCTTGGTAAGAACCATAAACCTAATCCCAACCTTGCGTTTTATCAATATTCGTCAAATTATGGGAATGTGTGTGTATATATGTACCCGATTGGGGCGTTGGAATGCTCACAATTTCATTTCAATGTATAGGCAAGAACTTTACAACCGTGCTTGAAAACAGTCGTCGCTATTCATGTTGCAATGCCTTATCTTGCTCCATGCACAATCCTACCTTTCTCTGCCCTTGTAGGCTTCAGTTGCAGCGGATGTGAGAAGCCTTTACAGTCAACCTGAGCAAGACCACGACCACGATCATGATCATGACCATGACCATGCTGAAGAGGCGGCCCATGTGGGGTTACCTGGTTTTGGACCGGTGCAAGTTTCCCCCGATGGTTCAGTGTCGCAACTTAATCCTTCAGGCAATGCCGGCACACCTATTGTGTTAAACCCTGGTGACGTAAGGACCTCTCCCTTGAACCAGCAATCTGGCGGTTCTCAGTCGTTCGGGCAACAGTCGGGCAGTGGCGTTTAGGGGCCTTCAGCTCCCGGTACAGACGGGACGAGGAATATGCCCTCAGGGGGAGGAATAGAGGGATTATTTGTGATTATAAGGGGATTAAAGGGGGCCTTCAGCTCCCGGTACAGACGGGACGAGGAATAGGCCCTATATAGAGATAATATAAATATCCCTATTCCTATATAATAGGAATAGGCCTATATTAGATAGGTAGTCCTATATAATAGGAATAGGGAGGAATAATGGTCGTGAGTCAGGGAGTCAGGTCTAAATTATATGGATAATGAATGGATCACGAATTTGACCGTTACATTGGTTTTGGAACTTTAAAAAACGCTTCTTTACAACTGTTTTTCCGAAATAAAATCTACGTTTTATCCACGTGAACTGAAGTTTTAAGAAGTAAATTACAGGCGTTGTCTGACAACACTGAAAAGTTGCGGTGAAACGGAAAGTGTACAAAAAACATGAATTTATATCATTAGATAAACTTCAATGATCTTCGAGGGTCTTAGCTAATAAATAACAGCAAGATTTGTTGCGGCTTCGAAACCCAGCTGCCAGTGAAAATTCTGCGATGCCTAGAGTCGACAATATAGGACAAATGTAGCCTATTAAACTCGAGAAATATGACAGACTTGTATTGGTAAGTTATAGCATTAATTATATTATTATTATTATTATTATTATTATTATTATTATTATATAAGGCAACATTGATATATATTAATATCGTATATTACTATAGACATAGCGAGCTGCGGTAGAGAAGTGAAGTATGGGCATCAAAGAGGTATACTATGGGCATTAGTGGAAAACAAAGCGTATTAGAGAGCAGTAAAGATGGCTGAAGAGCATTAGAGAGCAGTAAAGAGTGCTGAAGAGCATTAGAGAGCAGTAAAGAGAGCTGAAGGGCATTAGAGAGCAGTAAAGGAATGAAGAGCATTAGAGAGCCGTAAAGAGAGCTGAAGGGCATTAGAGAGCAGTAAAGAGGGTTGAAGAGCATTAGAGAGCAGTAAAGAGGGCTGAAGAGCATTAGAGAGCAGTAAAGAGGGCTGAAGAGCATTAGAGAGCAGTAAAGAGGGTTGATGTCCCGATCTTTCCATAACTGACGATTGATTGAAATAGCTGCTAGACTTATTGCCTGATCCGTAATTTGCTAGGCATTTTAAGACTGAACATATGCTCCTGCATAGCTTCGTCTGGACTTTTTGCCTGGTCCGTAATTTGCTAGGCATTTTAAGACTGAACATATGCTCCTGCATAGCTTCGTCTAGTCTGTTTTTGAAGGCGTTCATACTTGGAGCGTCAACGATGCTATCAGGGAGGCTGTTCCACATGTCGGTGACTCGAAGCGAGAAGAAATACAATCAGTTAGTAAAGTAAAATCCCTGTCAGGTTTCAAAACGAAAAATGAATAAATAAAATGAATAAAAACACAAAAAACCTACAAAAATCCTTAAAAACACTAAGAAAAGTTTTCCGGCCGCGAGACCGGCCGCGGGTCCTGCCGTAAATTTTTCCGAGACCTTCCGCGTGGGTGACCCAAGAAGCTGACCGCCAGGGCTGGAGACTCGCTGTCGGGCAGGGACTATACTTTAAGAAAATTTAGCCCAATACTCACTGCAGTGAGTGACAAAGCGCATTTTCTCGTCGACGAAAACGTAGTCACGGACGGACAGACGGACAGACAGACGGACGGACATGACGAGCACAATAGCGCCTTTTTTCCATAAATGAGAAATGCGCTAAAAAGTTAAGAGATCGTAAGTTCATCAGCCAATCATTGCCGGCCATCCAAGCAAAATCCACCAATCATAGACAAGAAAATAGAGCGTATAAGTACTTACGTTTACAGGGGGCGACGCAGCTGCGACAGCCATCTGCATTCAGCTGTGATAGAATAGAATAGAATAGAATAGAATAGAATAGAATAGAATAGAATAGAATAGAATAGAATAGAATAGAATAGAATAGAATAGAATAGAATAGAATAGAATAGAATAGAATAGAATAGAATAGAATAGAATAGAATAGAATAGAATAGAATAGAATAGAATAGAATAGAATAGAATAGAATAGAATAGAATAGAATAGAATAGAATAGAATAGAATAGAATAGAATAGAATAGAATAGAATAGAATAGAATAGAATAGAATAGAATAGAATAGAATAGAATAGAATAGAATAGAATAGAATAGAATAGAATAGAATAGAATAGAATAGAATANAGTTTGTGAGTAAAGAATAAGTTTGTGGGTAAAGAATAAGTTTGTGAGTAAAGAATAAGTTTGTGAGTAAAGAATAAGTTTGTGAGTAAAGAATAAGTTTGTGAACAAAATGTGTCACTGATGAATCCACGTGTATTCAGCAATGATCAATTCATATATTCCTATATTCATACATGCATACATTCGCATATTATTATATTCTTATATTCAGACATTCATCTCTTCATATATTTATACATTCATATATTCGTATATTCATCAATTCATATATCCATATATTCATTAATCGTCCATCAATTTAGTATATTAATAAATTATAGTTAAGCGAAACGACATAAAAATTTCTCATATCTTCACCAATGTTAATTAATAAAATAAATTTTAAAAATAAATTGAAACCCTAAATGATGAAGAAGCTGGTCTCTTCAATTACGAATTCACATGCATTTTATAATATTAATTTTTAATATTAATATCAATTAATTTGTCTTAATTTTAATTTAATTTATTATTTTTCTTTTGAATATTTAACTAAATAGGTAAGATACAAATATATTTTAAATTCATTTATGTTTAGCGATAAAACATTTATTCATGAACACAGCACTAGAGGGGGGAAGGGAGGGGAGGGAGGAGTGGGGGGGACTTGAACCCAGCATGGGGGGGTGATGTGTGGGGTTGGATGTCATTCATCCCATCATTCAGCCAACGTATCTCATACACTACAGTCTCCTGACTTCTCTTGTTAAGGTGGGTCATGAATGGGACCGAAGCTGGTCTTTGGTTATTCGGTGATAGGAATATTGTTGTCAACTAAGTGGAGAATAATAGTCTGTTTTGAAGAGTCCACTGGTTACGAGGTTAATGTGTATGGATTTTGCATACTGTAAGGTGAAAGAAAATGTCTGATATGCTTATCAGTATATTCTTGTACTGTTGTAACGCCTATCCAAAGACCGGATCTGTCATAACTATCAAATCGTGTGCTTTGGTCTCGATAAGGAGGCAGAATGTTGCTAGTTCGCAGGGAGTACATAAATTTTCGTGAAGCTAATAGTGGGAGGTATGACGCAAACTGAAATTTTCAGTAGTTACGGTGTAAATTATCCGAAGCTGTAACGAATGGCGTCAACGTTTTCAAGGAACACTTGTCTGGATATAGATACTCTTCATCTGTGAACTCGATAATCACCCGCCCTGTTTAGGTGGGAGATAGTTAAATAGTATGAGGTATGTCGAAAGTACGATCTAGTCAGGCGTTAACATCCCTTAACTGATCGCTTGTTCTCGTAGACTAATGAAATTCCAAATCCTCTATCTGTAATCCTGGAAATGACGAGAGCTGTGAAGGCTCTCCGTTCTGGAATGCACTAATCGTGCAAGGTCAGCTATTTGGTCTAATTTTGTAAAATCTATCCTAATGATCAAGATAGCGACAAAACTAGGTATTGCCGGTAGTTGTCATTGCGGCCCCTAATTTAGATTCCCTGGTAAGTCGTAAATGTATGCAACTGCCTAATAAAGATGATCGACTGTTTTTACAACAGCTTGAAATTTCGTCTTAACGTAAAATTCTTACTGATCTTTGCAGATGGCGTATTTCGGCATGATCGCATTATTCTCAGCAGCTCTCTTGGTAAGAACCATAAACCTAATCCCAACCTTGCGTTTTATCAATATTCGTCAAATTATGGGAATGTGTGTGTATATATGTACCCGATTGGGGCGTTGGAATGCTCACAATTTCATTTCAATGTATAGGCAAGAACTTTACAACCGTGCTTGAAAACAGTCGTCGCTATTCATGTTGCAATGCCTTATCTTGCTCCATGCACAATCCTACCTTTCTCTGCCCTTGTAGGCTTCAGTTGCAGCGGATGTGAGAAGCCTTTACAGTCAACCTGAGCAAGACCACGACCACGATCATGATCATGACCATGACCATGCTGAAGAGGCGGCCCATGTGGGGTTACCTGGTTTTGGACCGGTGCAAGTTTCCCCCGATGGTTCAGTGTCGCAACTTAATCCTTCAGGCAATGCCGGCACACCTATTGTGTTAAACCCTGGTGACGTAAGGACCTCTCCCTTGAACCAGCAATCTGGCGGTTCTCAGTCGTTCGGGCAACAGTCGGGCAGTGGCGTTTTCGGTCAGCAGTCTGGTGGATCTTCTCAGTCGTTCGGGCAACAGTCGGGCAGTGGCGTTTTCGGTCAGCAGTCTGGTGGATCTTCTCAGTCGTTCGGGCAACAGTCGGGCAGTGGCGTTTTCGGTCAGCAATCTGGATCGGGCTCCGGCTCTATTTTCGGTGAGAATAAACCTGATTTGAACGCAATTTATGAGTGCTCTCATTGAACGAAGTTGGCAGCGTTAGACCTGAAGCAGTGCAGCGTAGTCTGGGAGAATCTTTCGCACTTTCCATATATAATCTAAATTTTCTAGATTAGTCAGTGTTATGGTTACCCAGTCTGTTATAATGGTACATACTCCAGATCTCCAGACTTCGTTGCGGTGTCTCAGACTGTCCCGCAGTTGCAGGTAGCGATGGTAGCACTGGTGCTCAGCGTGGCTCTGCCATCGGAGGGTCGGGTCTGGTCACGGATGCGTTCCCCGGAACAACCGATCGTCTCAATGGGCCCGCTTCTGGCTTCGCTGGTGATTAATATATACTAGAGCGCGTGTCGGACTTTCCCATTAAAGATTTGGTCCCGTAATTTATAGACGACAATGCATTACACCAGAGGCGTCATTACACGTGCAGCTAAAAAAAAATTTTAAGTGGGCTTGTAATTACAGTATGTTGACGGTTCTTAAAGATCCAGTCCCCAAATTTTATATATGCTCTTGGTGCCAAGCCAATTAAGGTCAATTCTTCCTTCACATCCGACTTTATCGTCCCTCCTCCCATCATTTCAGCCCTGCCCTTTATCTAGTTGAACATTTTCCCTCCTGTACTTAGGCGGTTCAGGAGGCATCTTCATCACCAACCAAGGCCCCGTCGATGGTCCCGCCCCTATCACCATCACTGTGGAGTCTACTGTAGACGCCTTTTCGACCCTGACCAACCTCTTCTACAACACCGTCCCTGTCACCCTCACAGAGTTCATAAAGACCACCCTCACCGCCCCAACTTTCCAGGTAGCGACTTGCTTGCACCTAATGTGAAGTTAGGTTCTTCCGACCGGTAATGTTAGCTTGTGGTGACTATTAAAATCTCCAGATTTAGAGTGGTAGCCATTCTCACGTTCGCTTCATGAATTTCAATTTTGACGAAGATTTATCCTGTTGGTTTCAAAGAAGTCTCTCAACTAGCTTGACAATTTCATGGTTCTTCTACTATTCGCATGTTACGTTAAAACTTTGAATTCCAGCGCGTCACCGCCCCGGTTGACGACATCGTCCTGGTATCGCGAGTGCCCGACGTTCGTACGGAGACTATCACTGTGCTAGATACCAACACCGGCTACCAGTACGCGACAGAGGTCTCCACGCAGACCTACACTGTCACCCACAAAGCCTATGACATCCGCCAGCAGACGGTCACGTCCATGCTCGTCCAGACGTACGTACATATTAGTAATTTTCGCTGCATAAATAGTATAGGTTGTAGTAGTTTCCTGAACAAAATTGACTATAAACGACAGAGCTTAGCTTCCAAATTATAAGTTGATTAAACGTCAGACTGAGAGTTGACGCATCGCTTCACCCGGTTAATCCTAGCTGTCAGGCTTCCACATTTTTGCAAACGCTACCAAAAGTACTCGTTGAGCTCTACCTAGCTTCTCTACATTACCAACTGTAACTTAATTATACCGCCTGTCAATTGATAACCCCCCCCTGAACCCATAATAACAAAGTTTCCCTATCCTCCCCAGGCAAGTGATCAGGCCTCGCATAGTGAGCACCCGCATCGCTACAGAGTACGACACCCAGACCGTCGTCCAGACCGTCACCAACACTATCTTCGTCAACTCCCCCCTAGTACCCAGGGCAGGACCTGCCCCTCCTACCTTCCTCCCCGTCACCCCCACCCAAGTCTATGGGCCGCCTTCTAGACTGTATGGACAACCCTCGTTCTAGATGGAAAAGTTGTAGATCTATAGATTCTCTTGAACATATATATTGTATAGTGATTTTACGTGTCTGTAATGGTCGAGATATGGTTCGAAGTTTCTTGTACACGTAATGTACTATAGTTGCAATAAATTGTAGATGTGAGATTCACTTATCATTGGCCTTTTTACTGAATAGTCAAAGGAATGTGGAGGAATGCTCTTTGGTGTCCGTAAATGCCCAATTTTCTGGGTTGGAAGTGGTCCAGCCAAATAATTGCTGGAGCAATCGTGAAGTTAGAGGTATAGTCTATAGTTAGTTATTCCTTGCTATAAATACCTCCCTGCTCGGAAACTCTGGCATCTAAAGGCAATGTATGACTAACTTTGGAAAGCCGGTGTTGGACGAACGAGCATTTTTAGTCACATTGGAAAAGAGGAATGGTATCTGTAATCGTGTAGTAGAAGTTTCAGCTGTTAGTAATAAAGAGATGTAAATTTTGAATTAATGATTCTAATACTAGAGGATTAGAGCTGCTCCTTCGGAGCGTGCTTTGGTGTCGGACGTTGACTATGAGCCGTTTGCACGTAGCCCTCGTACTTAATCTAGCCGGGCAGAAAATGAATTTGGTTGACCTACACTGAAGCGAGAAGTGCTTAGTGCAATCTAATTCGAACCATGCGGATAAAACTTCTATCTCTTCTGGAATTAAATGACTAAATTTAGACTGTATTGAAATGGTACGAAAGTTGATCAGAGGCTGCGTTTACGTCTTGAACAAAACTCGCAGCGGCTAAATTTTTGGTCTGTGATTAGTTAGGTCAAGCTTGGAACGCAGTCTGTGATGGGCTGATGGAATTAAAACTTTGCAGCAAATATTTTTAGTATGGCCTCTGGATAGTCGGACTGATCGTTGATCTGTTATCCACAGCTCCCGGGAACTAACAATTGATTGTACTACGAAGTCTTCCAGATGTCGGGTGTGGGGGGGGGGGGGCGGAACTAATCGGCCTTAGTGGTCCTGTGGGACTATTGCCACTTGTCTTCCGGTAACTTTGCTTCAGTACCGGTAACTTGGCTTCAGTATAGTAAACGTAGGTATAAACTAAATGCTAGAACAGAAGTGACTGACTTGATCCATATGGCGTAAGTACATATATTACCAGTCTGCTTATATCGCAAGTTCACAAGGAATTTAAAAGCAAAGAAAACGCCAAGCAAATTCACCAAATCGATATTGAAAACGTTTCGGAGTCCAGCTTCATTATCAGTTCGACTGAACTAAAAATTTATTTATTAAATATTATTTATTCATTAATATTTTTAAAAATATTTATTTATATTGAAAACGATTTTGGTTTATTTATTATTATTTATTATTTTGATTTATTTATTAATATTTTTAAAAATATTTATTTATTTTGAAAACGTTTAGGAGTCCAGCTCCATCATCAGTTCGACTGAACTAAAAAAAATATTTATTTATGTCCTTAAGTGGGTCACTCGGACCTAGTTTGACCCGGCAAATGGGCGTATCTGTGCTACGTGCTGAAAGTGCAACACTATTAGGACATAATGAGCCATCATTTTCTTTGAGTATTATTGGCGGTTGGTAAAAGTCTGTAACTGAACGGCTTCTGGTACGAATAGCATTGAAGGAACCAGTTTCTGGTACGAATAGCATTGAAGGAAACAGCTTCTGGTACGAATAGCATCGAAGGAACCAGCTTCTGGTACGAATAGCATTTAAGGAACCAGTTTCTGGTACGAATAGCATTTAAGGAACCAGCTTCTGGTACGAATAGCATTGAAGGAAACAGCTTCTGGTACGAATAGCATTTAAGGAAC